TACATGATTTATTTTCATCCAGTGGTATGAAAATAAATATTTCATGAGTGGCGTTAGCCACGAGTGAAATATGGTAATTTTCATGCCACAAGATGAAAATAAATCATGTATTTATAGAAAAAAACTTGAATTTTCTGTTTATTATATACATTTTTCTCTTTTTTGAGATTATAAAAATTGGAAAGACTTTCCCTTAAATTTTGTGTACTGGCAGAATTTAAAAGAAAGTAGTCCGGCAAGACACCAGTGAAAATACGGAAAATATGTTTCACTGCAGTGAAAAATAAATTTTTACAGTGAAAATACGGAAAATGAAAATACGCATTTTATTTTATCAATATTTCTCAATATTTCATTTATAAGTATATAATAAAAGACAATATCAATATGCAATATCGAGTATAAAGAAAAGAGGAACAATAAGTTGAGTAATGTTTATTCAAAAGCAAGTTTTCATGTTCTTGCCACAATTATATCTTTCTTGCTTTAAACTTTGTAAAAGAGTTTTATGCAATAAATTTGTGTTATTTTATAATAAAACATCATATTTGAAGCAAATTTTGTCAAGAAAATGTTATCATTATTAAATAAGCAAGTATTGTTTGGCAATATTTACCCGAGACTCATTAATTTTCGGGAGGTGTTTCGTTTAGTTTTCATAACTTATTATGATTAATGTTAACGATTTTATTGTAAGTATAATTACATGTATATATCAATTAATACTGCTCGATGGCCTAGTGGTAAGTATGACGAAGTTGGTACCTAGTAGGAGCAAGTTCGAATCTTGGACAAATCCTGTTTTCATAAATTGATTTTTATTATATCTTTTAACTATATGAAACATAAGTTGATAAATCGTGTGTTTCATTTCTAGCACTTTTTTATTTCATAATTTTGATAAATGGTTAAGTTTTGCAAAATACAAAAAATATCATAAAAGAAAACATAAAAAATCACTTTATCGAACATACAGTCTTCAATTTGAAACTTACTGAAAATCTAACACCTTGTCATCGAGGTTTGTAAAGCAAGTGATATGCTTTGTAATTGTACTTGTAATTCTGCTTTATACATATACCGTTGTACCATACAAAATATTACATTGAAATCCATATGGTTTACTTCAGAATCCGATAATTACCGATCATCGAATATTTGCAAAATGACTATAAAAATATATATGCTTAATTATTGCATAAAACAATGCAATTCTACTGTAAAAGTGGTGTCTGCATAAAAAATTATTCTTATCAAAAAATATATAATTTAGTTGAAATCAATAGTCTCGTCGTTATATACGATATAGTTAACGTTTAATTGCCTTCCAGTGCGATAAACTATCAACAAAAAGATAGTTTATTAGTTTTCTCTGTATATCCAATACGATTCCGGCCCCCTACCGTCATACCAAGATTTTGTAATTATTCATACAAAATTACTATGATTTGCAGTTTATCAGCTTCTATACCTTGTGTTACCTGTATGTCTGTCTTATCAGCCATTTGTTACTATTAATAGATTTTATAACAATAACATACAACGTGTTGTCACGTGATTCTTACAAAGAAACAGGGAGAAATAGTTTATTACTAAATAAAATAATAAAATAGAATAGGTCTCATAAGATATAAACACCCAGATAATTTAAAGTGTCATTTCAAATATCATGCATGATTTATTTATCATAAAATAGCAACGCTTGACACTTTGAAATAAGTAAAAGTACCCCTAAATTCAATGACTTATCCATAGGGATACACCATAAATTCATTTTATAAAAATTGTAATGTTGCTTTTTAAGATGTCAATATTTGAATATTTCATTTCATTGAGCAACGTTATTGTATATTTGAATTTTTGAGATTACTGAAAACAATTGTAGTCTTTAATTGTTCAGTAATTGATATGCTTTTATTTACAGATTTTATAAGGCCTTCTCCTACCATAGGTATAATATTAAACTGTTACAAATATAGTCGCCGGTTTCTACCGGCGACTAAAGAAAGGTGATGTAAATAATGTCGAAACTTATAGAGGCATTTCTCTACAAAATGTTATAAGCAAAATATATTGTTCTATCTTTGTTAACAGACTCAATTTCTTTGCACAAATGTTTAAGAAAATTTCTGAAAATCAGTCAGGTTTTAAGGCTGACTGCTCAACGATAGATAACGCATTTATATTAAAATCAATTGTTGATCGTATGTTAAGAAACAGAAGACGAAAATTGTATGTTGCTTTTGTCGATTTCCAAAAATGCTTTGACACTATTAATAGACAGCTTTTGTGGGATATATTAAAACAGAAAGGTATCAAAGGAAATTTATTTAAATCACTCCAAAGTATGTATGAAGGTGTTAAGGCATGTATACGTTGTAATGGCTCAAGAACTGATTATGTTAACAGTACTGTGGGCTTGAAGCAGGGCTGTTTGGCAAGTCCGATTTTGTTCTGTTTTTTTATTGATGAACTGGAACGATTATTGTCTGAGAGTTATGTACAAGGCATACAGCTTCATCCTGATATACTACATTTATACATGTTAATGTTTGCTGATGATGTAGCCTTAATGTCCGACACTGTAGTTGGTCTACAAAAACAATTAAACGTTTTATCAAAATTTTGTACTGATTATAAGGTCAAGGTAAACGAAGCAAAAACGAAAATTGTTGTTTTCAAGAATGGTGGCTTATTATCAAGACATGAAAAGTGGTTTTATAGAAACACAAGATTAGAAGTTGTTAACAATTTTTGTTACGTAGGTTTAATACTGACACAAAAATTGTCTCTGAATTCTATGGTCCACGAACTGTGTGTAAAAGCAAAGCGTGTATTGATATCTATTTTAAATTCATTGTATCATCATGGCCAGTTAACAAATACTGTCTTTTTTAAAATTTTTGATAATAAAATTTGTCCTCAACTATTATATGGATCTGAAATTTGGGGTCTAAATAAATTTGATGAACTTGAACGGGTACAATATTATGCTTGTAAACGGTTTATGTGCGCAAAACAAAAATCATCAAATTGTGCTGTTTTAGGTGACTGCGCGGTATCCACTATTTGTTAAGACTTACAAAAGAGCTATAAGATATTGGTTGAAAATTATAAAGATGCCTAACGAAAGAATTGTAAAAAAAATGTTATATAATGATGCTAAATGATGGCTCAAATGGTTATGTCAATTGGGTTACTACATCAGTGAAAAACTGCTTAGAAAGATACGGATTTGGTTATGTGTGGCTTAACCAAGGTGTACAAAATGAAAATGTATTTTTAAATGTTTTTGTAAATAGAGTGAAAGATATAAGCCTTCAAGAGTGGAATATGAATGTTGACGATAATTCTAAGTTAGAAAGTAACAAATTGTTTAAAAATGGTTTTTCTTTTGAGCATTATCTAAATGTTTTGGATTTGAAAAAAATTCGATTCATATACACAAACTTTAGAATTGGTAGTCTGGATATTGAAGTAAAAGGGGAAGATATACGCATACCCCATGAAATGAACGAATTTGCAAATTGTGTGATAAAAACAGTGTTGAAAATCAATATCATTTCTTACTTATACGTGACTGTTATGTTGATTTACGCAATACTTACCTGGCAAAAAAATATTACATGCAACCAAACTTGAATAAGTGTAACATAATTATGTCAACAACAAATGAATATCTTATTAAATCTGTCGCTGTTTTTTGTATTATGCATATGAAAAAAGAAAACAATATCTGCAAAATATATAATATGATAAATATTGCAACAATATATCTATAAATAATAATATTAATAAAAAATTGTTGTATTAAATGGTTAATGTAAATTGTTATGCACTTACTATGCTCTGTAGATATGTTGTGTATTATATTTTGCATGGGCTGGAGGTCAAAAAGCAAATAAATTTTGTCATTGTCATTTTAATGTAGGTAACTATTTTATTGGTCAGGAGTAATGTTTTATTCTGTTTTAATTATTGTATCTTATGCCTCCTACTCTCTTTAATTATTCCCAGTGAATATCTGAATACATCAGTAGAAATATGTAAGCTCTAAAATTTATTCTTTTTTTCTTATTTGTTAGGTTTAACGTCGCACCAACACACTAAATGTCATATGGCGACTTTCCCGCTTTAAAGGTGGAAGAAAACCTCAGTTGACCCTCTGTACATTATTTCCCTCTTTTGAAAACATAACTTTCGTTTTAGATACGTTGACTTTAAACGTCTATGTATTGCAATAATCATACAAGAGACATATATTGTGTTGTAGTTCTTCTGCTGAGTTTGCAAAAATTACGATATATTCCGCATATAATAACAAGAAAACTTTAAACATATTTACATCTATTCCTTTAACACCACTTCTTAAAAATGTATCTTCTAAGTCGTTTAAGAACATAGAAAAAAGAAAAGGTGACAAACATTAACCTTATCTTACCACCCCTAGTGTACATGTAAATTCATTACTTAAATTATTCAAATACTTAACTTTTGATTTTACACATTTGTACATAGATTGAATGACATCTAAAATTTTCCCTCTTTATCCTAACTGAATAAGCTTGTACAAAAAAAATTCCTCACAACGTAATCAAATGCTTTATTGTAGTCAACAAATAGACAAAAAATGTTTTCCTTGATTTATAAAATGCGATATTAAACCATTTTAAACAAAAACATTATCTGTAATACTCATATTTGATCTAAAACTAGCCTTAGCTTCAATGTAAACATTATATTTACAGCTCAATTTTTTAACCTTGCATTAATTACACTTGAAAATAATTTACCAATACTACCTAACAATGTGATACCTCTAAAATTTTCTACTTCATTAACACTACCTTTCTTATGTAACGGAATGACATATCCTTCTGATAATAGTAATTAATTCAATGTACCTAACTACCATATTCACTTGCATTTGAATTTTCCGTCAGGATCTTTCAAAATAATTCTGTTATATAAAGACCCTGCTTTCACGTTGTAATACAAGTGTACATTAAAATCTTCATAACATCTGCACACTTATTAATTCCAATGCTTGCGTTTGAAACAAAAACACATGGACTAGTATATTTTAGTTTTCTGGTAGACGTTGTGTTGATACCATGCTGAAAAACACCAATGCAGTCAGGCACAGCCATACAATGGCGCTGATACCGAATACAAGATCTACGGTTTCACTAACGTCACGCCAGGTAATAGACTCTGTATCGTCAGACTCGTTGACCCAGTTGTCTTTAACAACTACTTCCGGTGATTTTTTTACATCTGCGTCTTTACTTTCCGTTAGAGCGTCCACCTTTGTATCGTTTTTATGACGGAATTTTCGCTTGCATTTAAAAATAAGCACACACGACCTCAACCAGCGAGGAACCTCTGTCTCTTTGTAATAAATTCTAAGATTTACCACCGTTACGACCATAATCAAGGAGCTAAGAACTAGATTTGTGAGGAGAAAATAGCATAATATTGACATTGGCTGTGATGTTTTAGGCATGTTGTCACCAACAAGTGTTAGAAAAACGGCAATTGCAAGCAAAACTGTGATAGCTAAAGAAACTCTCTCCCCAGATTTAGCGGGTAAATAGAAAACAAGAACATTCAGCAGTCCCATAAACAATACAGGTAACACGGCGTTAACGATTATATACGTGGGCCTCCTCTGAAGTTCAATCACAACACTGTAGGTAGGGTACATATTGTCAATTAGACCAGTAACAGTTGTTGCCTTTTTAAGTTCCCATACTCCATTTTCCGAAAATAATTTTCTAGAAACTTCCTTTTCGGCTACGTGTATGAACATTTCGCTTATCCTTGATCCCCATGGAATGAAAGTTACCTCGCAGCTTTGTTTATCAAAGGGGTAAAATGTTATATCAATGTTACACGTTGTCGTCATTACATCACCAGGGGCCCAAAGTGCCATTCCATTGTATTTATAGCGCACAGGGTACCAACTGTGATCAAAACCAATTGCCTTTGTCATATCAATAGGATGAGCAAGGATTAAATCCGGCTTCCAAACATTTTGATTTGATATTCTTGTCGTAAATGTGTTGTTATATGCCAAAGGGTTCCATGAAATTCTTGGATCTTCCCAGAACATCCATAATATTCCTACTATTGATATCTTTTCCATGATTTCGTCAAGTTCTCGTATTGATATGAGTTCAAATGAGACATTGACAAAGACAGGTTGTGATTGGTCAATAGCAGGTCTGATATCTTTGTTATAACCAGACATTACAGTTTTGTGTAACTGACTGACATCATCTATCGTCTGTGCATCAATGAAAGTCACGAGAGATACCGCAGTAAGAACTGCACCAACATAACCAGTTCTCACCATGTTGTTTAACTATTTGATTTGCTGTTTCGCTTTTGTGGTATGGTCGGCACATAAAACTAAGAAAGCATGAATATATTAATTTACAAACATTTGTTTAACACATCCAAGTGACATTTAAATGAGAAATATTCCTTGAACATAAGTTATAAAATGATTATTTTAAATTAGAAGTTACAGATGAATGTCACTTAGAACAAGGTATTAGAAAAACTAATTTATAATAAGATATACTTATATTATAAAATATTCAAAATAATCTGATCATTCTAAACCTTGTGTTGCAACAGCATTAGTTGCCTCCTTGTTTATTTTCCATGAAAAGAAATTGCTAAAACTTAATGTCTTTCTAATCTTTCTAATACATATTTTAAATATCTAAACATAACTCCTAGAAATACTCACATGTCACAAGAGCGCCTGTGTTTGAATGTTTTCATATCATTGAAACAAGATTGTTTTAATCAGCTTGATATCACGTGAGACACGCTTTCCGTGGTCATAACTCGTATTTCTTTTATTAATAAATCGAAAATATATTGATTAAAATGGAGTGTCAGAGTACAAGCAAGTATTTTTATTAGCCTTGTTTGTCTTGTCAATATAATCTATATAAATTAATAATGAGGGAAAAAGCTTAGCTTGTCGTCAGAGAATTCTAATTTATAATTAATATTGCTATTCAGTACATTTTAATCGTTATAAATGATAGCATGACCGAATTCTCGTAAAAGGAGATCCTTCGAATTTTGAATAGTTGAAAATATTGAGTCTATTTATGAAGATAAATGACATATTCAAATTTAAGCCTTTGAACATTATAATAATAATTTATCGAAACAATGCGTTGTCAAGGCGAAACAGAAGTAGGTAAGTTATGAAACTTGCACTTAAAAAGCGATACATAGTGTCAACCTATTGAGCTTCTATGCACGGCTTAAACTTTGTTCGGTCCTGAGGTCTTCGCGCATGCGCAGTACGAATTTTTATGTCCTGTCGTGTATCTGACAAAATTTGGCATGTCTCCAGTTCTCAAAATATATAGGTATTCGATAGAATCAGTGCAATCAATCCCAAAAGACCTGAAAAATGTAATAACAATGACGTAAAGTATAGGGAACTCTGATAAATGATAAAACTAAATAATACTTCGCTGGAGGTAGATTGTTTAGATTTAACCCATTTGATAATCACTTGCAAAATGTAATTAACCATAAAAAGCAGAAGATATATAAGATAACCAAAAGTAACCGTACCTGACGACCGATTTAAATATTCTCATATTACATTGATGTTTAAATATTTAAATAAATAATATAGGATATAATTACTAATTGCGTGATTATGACACAGTCGATTAGTATATAGACTGCTTTTAAAGTTATTTGAGTAAGATTTACAACGTATGTTCCAGTGGTTAACGATTACAGACCTAGCAGATACAGAGTGTTGTTTAATCAAACGTAATTAAATTTCTTCACCGATATATGATAAAAGCATTGAATGTCAATTTTTAAAAAAAGCTTGCCAAACAGAAGTAATTATGAACATTACATATTTGTATTCAAAATCATTATCATTGTAGTAAAATGAATTGTCGATAAACAATTAAAGCAAACAATTATATGATCATTCGTATCAAAACAAAATTAGCTCAGTTAGCTTTAAAAACAGACTAAATTGCTGGTGAAACTCAAATCTGTTTGCAATTCTCGGTAAAACGTATTTGCAACCAAAGAAATATTTAACTAGTTCAAATATTTGGCATGTCAGAAATTACAAATAGACGGGAAAGAAAATTTTCATTCTTTCATTACGAAGAAATTGATAATAAATGTAGTCAATAATTAGTCATTCTAATTTATAATAGAACATAAAAAGTACATTTCAAATAGCACGTTCAAAGAAGATAAATAAATTTTAAATACTTTTAAATCAATAAAATTTGCCAGGCAGTCAACACATTTTTCTTTCCTTTTGATCCACAAACTTATAAATCGTTATTTTAGGTATTTTTTATACGATTTCTCAGTTTTAATGTTGTATGCTTACTGTCTTAAACTGCTTCTTTCAGGTAGTCACGATGTTTAGTTTTATTAGTCTATGTATAGCAAATGGTGTCTCAGTTTTATCATTTATATATATAAATATATTTATATTCTAATATTGTGATATAGATTTTTCATCTTTTATAACTCCATGCTTGAGTGCCACTGTACTTGTATGCTGTAACTTTTTAACATTGTGTATATGTATGTACAATGATGAGGTATAAATAAAGATTACAACGCTTAACAACCAACGCTAACTTACTTTGTCACATATAGAAAACACAACCGAATCCTATTGTTATTTGTCACTGAATCACTTTTGTGACTGTGGAAATTTTAAAGATCGAACATTTCATTATATGGAGAGAAAGCACTTCAGTGACAAATATAAGTAACATTTTAACACTGTCGCCTAACCATCGACCACGACGTTTTCATTTAATTTGTTGGTAGTGACCATCGCACCACCTGATCACCAGGACTTAATCACATCTTTAAAATGCTTAGAAAAACTTCACGTAGAGTGGTGTAATTATGAAATGTCAACAGATTCAAATTACAAAATAAAAATAACATTATTCTTTCGTATTGAAGACGTCATAAAAAGGTTTTCTGTTTCAGCTGCTAAAGTCGCGTTATGAACGCAATTGAATATACATATTGCTCATTATGTCTTTTATGACATACCGGTCTTTTTAACTGTAAAACTGTTTCCGATAACTCATTTCTAAAACTACTGTTGAGAAAAGGCCTAACGTTTTTGCTAACCCATGTGTGACTATGTTTACAGTAAAAGCCTGCTTCAATATTTCAAAACTGGCGTCTTTTACTTTACACATTAAAAGCAAAGTTGAGCTTCTAGAAAATAATTTTGAAAATATTCAGTGTAAAAAGGATATAATGCAACTCGATATTGATGCTTTAAAAGAAACATGTGACCAGAAATTTTTGGAAGTCGAACATATTGAAGTTTTAGTTGACAAAATTAAACGTCAGATACAACGTGCAAATTTAAGGATTTTTGGTCTAAATGAAGATGCTGGCGAAAATAAAAGTATGCTGAAAAAGAAAATCTTGAAAGAAGTATGTTGTGTTGCATGTCCTAGCGAATCATGGTGCGATGAATCGATACAAAATGCCTATAGAGTTGGCACTCCAGATGCAAACGGTCAACGAATTGTAATTGAAAATGTTTCTTCAGAAAATACCAAACATAGACTTTTCAAAGGCAAAGATGCATTGCGCGCTAAGAGAATTCGCATTTCGGATGAACTCACAACAAAGCAAAGATCAGAATTAAGCACTTTAAAATCTCACGGTAAAGCAGCATATAATACCTCAAGGGGAAACTTCATATAAGACCTCACAATGATAAGCAAGAACATACGAGGCAATTTGTAAACGCAAAAAGAAAAGTGCACTTTGCGGAATTCGATGATGCATCCCAAATGAATATCAGCCCAATGACTGCCGAATCGTTTGGTGGCAAACCAAGTTATGATAACAAAACTCAAATTAAGTAGCAATCTGGTCAAGGCCCTAAATTGAAACATATGAATATTGGATTTTGGGATATTGAAGGTGTTCTAAGAAAAAGTGATGAAATAGACTTTTTTGATTATTTAAAAGGTTATGACATTATCGGCTTGGCTGAAACTTGGGGAAGAAGCAACGAAGAGACAAAATACCACTAGGAACTTCATACTGAATATTTTTTTACCAGCGGTGAAAAAAGCGAAACATGGCAGAGCAATGGGAGGCATGTCCGTTTACTGCAGAAACGAAATAGCTAAATATATAAAGCGAATTGATGAAACATGCACTATTGGTATTATATTAAATATTGACAAGTCATGTACAAATACAAGTGAAAATTTATTTATGATGTTTATATACCTACAGCCACTTGAATCACCGTTCTACTCTGATAAAATATATAAAGGCATCTTCTTGTTAGATGAATACCTGACTAGAATATACACTGAATACAATTTAGCAAATGTAGTTTTAATGGGCGACCTTAAATGCACAATCGGGTGAGTTGAATGATTTTTGGTTGCAGCAGATCATTGCATACCGTCATTAGACATTATAACGACATTTTTGATTGCCCTGTTCTTGACACCAGATCTTCTCGCGATAAAATGATAAACACACAAGGCCGACATTTAATTGATTTATGCAAGATATATTTGTTAAATATAATGAATGGTAGAATCTGAAATGACAAACATATCGGTCATTTTACTTTTTCATCAACACAAGGTAGTAGTGTTATTGATTATTGTTTGGTTTCTAAAGATATAGTACATTTGATTAAAAGAGAGTTTAAAGCATTATGTGATACAAAAAGTAAACAGTTTTTAAGAAACGAGCTCAGTGAATTGTCAAACAATGTAAATTATTCAAAACTTTTTTGGTCGAAATTAAAACGCTTAACAAATCGTAAAAGTCAAGTGACAAATGATATAAGTACTATACAGTGAATTCATTATTTTGAGGGTCTTTTAAATCCTTGTATTGCTGATGAAAATAATGTAGAACCCATTTCAACAGATGAGATTATACCTGAGTTCTCTTTATATAGTATTGACATCAATACACCTATTCTAATAAGGTTATTTAATAGGATATTTGCCTCTGGTGAGTTCCCATCAGCTTGGTGTGAATAAATTATCGTTACAATACATAAGAAAGGTGATGTATATAATGTCGAAACTTATAGAGGCATTTCTCTACAAAATGTTATAAGCAAAATATATTGTTGAATCCTGGTAACAGACTCAATTTCTTTGCACAAATGTTTAAGAAAATTTCTGAAAATCAGTCAGGTTTTAAGGCTGATTGCTCAACGATATATAACGCATTTATATTAAAATCAATTGTTGATAGTATGTTAAGAAACAGAAGACGAAAATTGTATGTTGCTTTTGTCGATTTCCAAAAATGCTTTGACACTATTAATAGACAGCTTTTGTGGGATATATTAAAATAGAAAGGTA